GCGTTCAGGTGCCCAAGTGCAACAACCGATCATCTTTCAGAATTTTCTGCAAATAAAAGCCCAGTATCCATTTACAGTACTACCTTTAGGTACAGCAGTAGAGAGATAGCCATCATTGCTGGATGCTTCCTGCAGCGGGACTGGCCCAGACACTTCAGGAGCCGGACATGAACGTGGTCTGACCACAGCCTTAATGAAGGAGAGGTCTGTAAGGGCACCTGGCGACCACCATCTCCCAAGGGACCACTCTCACAGGCATCCTTGCCTCTTTGTTGTTGCTGTTTTCCTATGGGGTTCACTGCTTGGAATCATTTTTCAAACCTATTCATCAGAATCACTGGGTTGCTTAATACACACATAACTCTGAATCAGATAAAGACATGATGGGAGAATTTGCACTGAAAATAGGTGCCTGGAAGTGTTTATCCATGCACCACAGTTTGGAAATCATAGAGCCAGAATCACTTAGAACTTCTGCCTCTGCCCTTTCTTTAATTACAGGGAAAGGAGAAGAGGAGAAAAGCAGCGTGTCCTCTAAGCTTTAGGATCTCGCTGCTTACAGAAGGACTGTCTTCTGCACTTTGGCAGAGAGCGTGGCGGGGACGCTCTATCCCCCTGCAGGGACGCCAAAGTTAGCTCTTCCTGGATGAAGAGGTTCAGATTTCTGGGGCAAGGAGTCCATTGTTCACTCAACTTCAGTTACTTTCTTGGAACATCTTTGTCAACACACTGCAGGGAATGCTTTCATGTGTGCAACTGTGCCTCTCACATCTTTCCTTCAGATGTTTCCGTACTTTGAATTAAAATCGCCCCATAAACCACTGTTTTTAGACAGTGTATATTTTGGACAGAATTAGAGAGGAAAAATCCACTCAATATTATGTGTTCAAGTCTAAACGATTAGAACGAGATAGAAGTAAATGCATAAACATGATTCCCTTGTGAGTATGTGCACGCTTTCTGCCCAGAGGGTAGTAGAAACTGTGAGTGATTTAAAAAAAAAATCAAACATTCTGTATGCTAAACTAATAATCTAAGGAGGGTTTGCTTTACATTAAAATTTAAAAAAAAAAGCATGAAAGGAATTCCATCGGTAGGTTCAAGCTTCCCTGACTTATAGATAATAACTATCTGATTTTTATAAAGGTCTTTTAAAACTTTTTCTGAAAGTGGATGGAAAATGGAAAATGAGTTAATCCAGTTCTGCTCCTCAATTGTTCACACATGATTTGTTAGAGTTACAAGCCTGTTTGGACTATCCTAAAATTCACAAAGTTCAGTAGAAACCACACTTGAATACTATAAGCCCCTAAATATAAAAATGAAAATAGGGATGAGACAGCTGAATAGAACCCTATAACCATTTTAAGGTGTATAGCAGCCAGTTGTGTATAAACTAAAATTGAAATAGTTGCAGGATGCAGTTAAGAACTTGCATATTCTAACATATTGGTCACTCAATACCATGTCAATTAACTTCATGATGTTGTAAATGGTTGTTGGAGTTGTGTGGTGACATCTCATTGAAGGGGATGATATTCTACCAGTTCCACTTTTGGACCAGGGGTGGTTTCCCAGTGAGACTGTTGAATATGTCTGGACAATGATATGCTGGACTCTCTGCATGGTCCATGCCCGCAGTGAAGGAATCATGACTGGTTATGATCTATGATAATGTAACAATATGGAGGGATTCAATATGGGGGAGGGCTTGGGGAGAGTCTGGGGGAATCCCAGAGCCTATGAAACTGTGTCATAAAATGAAATTTAAAAAAAAAAAAGCCCAGTATTGGCACAACGACCAGAGCTACACTGATCTGAAGCCAGGAGCCTGCAACCTCTTCCTGGTCTTCCACATACGTGCAGGGTCCCAAGGCTTTGGGCCATCCTCGATTGCTTCCCCAGACTACAATGAACATCTTTCTCAAGTTAATTTTTCTCCCTGTTTCATTACATAAACTGTTTTTCAAAGATTATTTACACCCTTTCCACATCAGACATACAAATATTTTAAGTAATTTATTTAAGTAATTTAACTCTTTAAGTAATTTTATTTTTATTTAAGTAATTTATTTTTATTTTTATTTAAGTAATTTACTTTAAGTAATTTAACTCTTTTCCCTATATGTTGTCTAATTTTTGCTATACTATATAATTCGCATCATGAAAAAATTATTTTGGTGTAATTTTATATAATTCCCTCCCTTAACCACTCGAAACATTTTGGTTATTACATTGTCTCTGTTTATTCCCAGTGTATTCCACACAACAGTTGACTATGCCACCACACATTTAGTACGCTCCATTCTCTCTTGAACTGATTTTAATCAAAATTTTGTCTCTGTAACACTTCCAAACCTCATCTTGCAAAGATTAACAACCACACCCCAATGATTGCTACATCATGATTACATTAAAACCCCTCATCATGCTTATCATTGTAGGAACAAACATTCCATTAGTCTTTCTTTTCTACAAAAGCCCAACCTTTCGTGACCAACTTTATGCCATGGGCTTTGAAACAACTGAATGGCACAGGGCCAAGCAGGAGTAAGCTGGTTTTGCTCTCGCTTAGGCACCGGTTCAGGCAACAGGCTTCCTAGGAAAGTGAGAGCCTTACATTGGCACAGTGGTCACAAGTTACATTGAACTTTTCTTCTAAGTTCACAATGCTAAGGTTGATGGAAGAGGAACTTACTGGAACCTCATTATTCCTTAATTTGTGCATTCCATATTCAGAAAAGCTTGAGATCAGAGATTAAACAGTTAATTCACAGGAAAAGATGCACATCACAGTGTTGCTGAGCATACACCTTGCAACATGAAAGGCAGCAGTTTGGCTCAAAGTCTGCTTCCTGGTTGTCCCAGCTGGAGTGTGGCAAATGAGTGAATTATGAAATAAACCTGCAGCAGACATGAATGAGAAGCAGAAACCCCTGCAGAGCAGCCATTTGGAATGATTGTCACACTTTACCGTGCATCGCAATTGCCTTGGAAGCTTATCAAAATACATAATTCAAATCAAACTACCAGACAGTACTGGTGAAGCTTAACGATCCAGACTTTTCCTAATTTATTTTTTCATGTTGCTTGGATACAGGTGGGGAACAAACCGTGCACTGTTCTTACACGGATGATATATTGGTAATACCAAGAGTGAGGATCAGAGATAGTTATTAGTCAAAAAACAAACCAAAAAAAATGGAGGAGTTTTCTTTATCTAAAACAACAAATCAATACCAAAACCAACACATCAAGTTTATGGAATAGGTCAGCAGCCATCTATTACCACAAAAAAGAAGGTATCTTATTTATTTATTTATTGCTTTATTATACATTTTCACAGGCTCTGGGATTTCCCATTGTCTTCCCCAAGTTTCCCTGCTCCCCTCCACTGATTTCCCTTCTCGTATTACCATGCGTGGTTCTTTGTGAAGAGTCATAAGTCCATACCCGGCCATCATTGAGGTGTTTCCCGACACTGCAGGCATGGACAGTGTTGGAGAGTCCAGCATCCTACTGTTAGGACAATTTCAGCTGCCTCGCTGGGAGTCTGTCTTTGGTCCGGATGCATAGAGACATACTGCACTGCGTCTCCACATCTGCACATATAAGTCTTTCTCTGCTACACGTTTATTAAATACCCTCCTAAATACAGAATCAGCGAACACGGTCCACAAAATGGAGAAAAGGGGGAAATTTTCAGCAAGATGAAGTTAGTGACCATGCTATAAAAATACCAATGTGTCGCTAGTGTGATTAAAAATAAAACAAAAAAACCTTCTTGTAGAAATTGATGATACTGCATGATCCACGTGACTCTAGAGAAATTGCAATTAAAACCAGAACATCATTACCTATGAGATGCAGGAAAAACTGTCGAAAGGGGCATTTGCAACCTCTAGTATTTACAAGAGAAGGTATCTGGCAGCCAAAATGTCCCCATGGACACAGCATGGAGACGGGGATCCTCCCCAACACAGCTTTGTCCTGTCCTTTCAATGCTGTGCATCTGCAGGTGCTGTCGTAACCCAGAGTCCAAACGCGAACATGGGAGGCATCAACTCCTTTGCATTTAACATGCTTTCTTCACAAGTTTCATTCAGGTTGTCATCAAGATTTAATTTACAGCTAGCTGTCAGGTAGGTTTGTGTCAGCTTTGGACGAGTGTCAACAATAATCAGATCAGGCTCTTTAAGCTATGTATGACATTTCCTTAATGGTGTTCCACTTTCTACCAGCAGGCTAGTCACTTTCTTCAGCTCCAGGGTAGTTATGCTGAAGGTACACAGAGCTGACGGTCAGAATGCCAAAGGGGTAAAAGGGCAGATTCAAAGCAAAAATGGAAGAAAACTTCTCAACCCTTAAGATCGATAACCTGATACCGAAAGTCCCAATGTCACTAGGTAGATGCGGCTCAGCCAGGTCACACCTCAGCTGTGCAAATTCCTTACGATAATCTCACATCTTTCCATTTGTCTAATCTTCTCTGTTCATAATCTATGTGAAGTAACTTTTATTCAAAGAAACCTTTGTATAGCTGTAAGATATCCTGAGCCTTAGGATAGTCACCAAACAAAAATGATATAGCGCTCAATCCAAGAAGAGAAATAACACTTGTGTATACATGCACTATTACTGAAGTATCCAGATACATAAACTCAACATTAACACGCATAAAAGGAGAGATGATCTGGAATTTTGTACTGATAGGGACCTTTAATACCCCACTTTCAGAAATGCATACATCATCTGGTTAGAAAATGAACAAAAGAAACAGCAGGATGGAAGAATACCCCAAATCAATGCAACAGAAGACGCGTATGCAAAGCTTTTCATCCGACAGCTCTAGAATACACAATCTTCTCATTGGCTCACTGAACGTTTTCCCAAGATACACTACAAGGTGGGACACAGTGGGACATAGTGAAGTGAAGAAGGATCCAAATAGCATTGAAATATAAATCAAAAAGCATGTATAAAAACAGCACATTTCTTACCGTTCACCTGGAAGATGTGAGTCTGGTAGACTTGCTCGTAACCTTGAGCATAGCACGTGTAGTTGCCCATGTGGGTAGTGGTAACCTTCGTGATATACAAGGACCCGTCATCTCCAAAGTCCTGTACGAGAGTGAAATGAAATAGCTAAGTGTATGAATAAGAATACACTTTAATCATTTAATTTTTAGAATGTACTCTCAGAAGTAAACTAAATAGGCCAAATTATTGCTTGAAAACGTGCAGAACGTGTCTGTGATTGGAGGGTCCAGACAGACAGGCAAGCCGATTAGCCAATCGCAATGATTGCTGGGTTGGGTATTGTTGGGACCACTCTTTTGCCTTCCCTTTTCTTCCCTAGATAAACTTGCAAGTCCTCCCTAATGAGTGAGCATGGCTCACCGGGTTGTTTCTGGTGTTTTTTGTGGCCGAGGAATGGCGACCCCTCACCCCCGGTGGTCTCACTGGTCTTGCTGGTCTCAGGGCCTGCTGGCATTCAAGGACTGGTCCCTAGTCTTAAAGAATGGCAGTGCTGTTGTGTTTTAATCCCTGCTTGTTATGTACTGACACCTTTACCTGATGGAGCGTTAAGTATCTGACTGTGACGTAAAACGAAAGTATGTTATGGCAGAATTTGGGGCAAAAGGAGATATTTAAAGAAATAAGAAATGAGGAGAGTGGGTGGGGAATCTGGGCAGGAGGGAGACAAGGATAGAAGTGTCACCATACTCCCAAATCGATATCATAGAATACGTGAAATTTTCTTACTTTGTATAAATAATTAAAAAAAAAACCGAGTCCAAAGGCTATAATAGAAATTATATCAAAAAGAATTGTAAAAATATAACAAAAGTATACTTTACACGAAGGACTTCAAAGAGTTGCTAAACAAACAAACAATGGAGCTGGGAAAAGATTTTTGACATGCCCAGTACCGTGGCTTAGTAGGTTGAGTCTCTGCCTGGGCTGCCAGCATCTCATATAAGCTCCTGTCCAAGTCTGGTCCGCTCCTCTCCCCATCCAGCTGCCTGCTAAGATGCCAGGGAAAGCAGCGGCAGACTGCGTGAACCCTGTCTTTGCACCCACATTGAGACCTGGAAGAAAGCTGCTGTTTCCTGACTGCATCAGTCCCAAATCAAGCTATCGCGGCTGTTTGGGGAGTGGACCAGTAAATGGAAGATCTCTCTCTCTAAATCTTACAAATAAAAAATAAATACAACTTTTAAAAAGGATTTTTTAAGGATAAAACATCTTTGAAATCTTTACATAGTTGTTTTCATAACACACTTTCTATAAATTTCTTCGATTATCGCTAGCATTTCTAACTTTACCTATATTCATGTCATAGGAATTTATGTTAAAAATAGCTTCTCCCTGATACTCTATATTGATTGCAATCAAGAAAATTACCACAGGATTATTGAACTTTGGCTTGAAAATAAACCAAAAAAAAAAATTTGAGAGAGGAGAAACATTAGGGGAGAGATGGCCAGGGAAGTGGGGAGAGGAAGAAGGTGAGGGGGAGAGACAAAGGACAAGAGTCCCCTGCCCGGCATTATAAAAGGACAATGTGGAACCTGGACCCCAACAACCTATGTGTTACAACTGCCAGATGAGCCTCCTTGGTGTATTACAGGCTGCCACTAAAACACAGCTCAGGGACAGCGCTGTGGCACAGTGTATTAAGCTACTGCCTGGTATGTCAGCACCCCTATTGGAGCCAATGGTGGTAACCCCATATAATGTATTTCTAAAAGTTTGAACCATTTTAAGACAACTGCCAAGGGACATTGATCAAATGGTAAAGATCAAGACATTTAATAATCTATAAATAGTAAGAACCAGTCAATCAGAATATATAAGGCAGTGAAGAGCAGGTGTGATAAAGCCAGCTTGCACTTGCTGCATGTCAAGCCTGCATTTTACCACAAGGATTACTGATTTTATTCTAATCTATGGTATAAAAAAATCCATCTAGTATAAAATGTAAACATAGCTCCACTTTATTTTCCATATTATGCTCCTCCTCATTGTTTTAAATTGCAAGAATCCAGAGTAACAAACTTAAATTCAGTTTTCTATATAAAATATAAATCTTGATACATGCTGAGTTTAAAGTTATTTTATTCTGACTGCGGGCTATTTTACTATGCTTTAAGTTGGTGATATGTGTAAACAGTTTTCCAAGACTTTATGTACATAAAAATATTTTCATAAAATATTTAAGAAAACATCTCGACTTTGTAATCAAAGAGCTGTGAACTAATGTTTTACGTGATTTTGCAGAGAATACGGGTGTTCTCCATGCCTCTTTACTTACACACTTGATGTTTTGCCAATAAACATGAGCTGCGTATATCCAATGTACCTAATACAGTCTTTTAAAACCTCTATTTCCTAAAACAATTTCATGCATCATTTTAAAAAGACACAACAGAAAAGAAAACCCAACTAGCTTGGATTAAATTTACTGTTTCAAATGTGTGAGCAAAGAATAAATCAAGCAAAGGTATTATTTGGACGGAAAATCAAAAGCAAAAACAGGATATTTGTAAGAAAATTGCTTGATGACACATGAAACAAATAATCACATTTTTTTTTTACTTAAGAAAATACTGTTAAAAGAGTCTAATAATATTTTCAATTTAATTAATCTACTCTTGCTTTAATCTCGTGTTTTGCAATTATCGTTTGTGTAAAACTATGGGTATATCTACCTCTCAAAATAATAAAGGAAAGAAAGGAATTTTGATGAGATTCCCCACTGTCTGTGAGTAGTTGTTGAGTTTTAAAGAGATTTCATAAATGTAATTTGAAGGTTTTTTTAGAGGTGTGCCTAAACTAGTCATCATAGAGTGAGGTCCACACAGGTACTTTTGGCAGAGTACAAGGAGCACCAAGAGGCATTACTTCACTTACAGAAAGGAAATCAGACAAAATGAGAGTATGCGTAATAATGCTTAAAGGAGTTATACACATCCTGTCGCAGAACAGTGATATAACCCTATCAAAACACATTCAAGAAGACCTGTGTCAGTGGAAAGTCACAAATCGGAGAACTCAGCATATTGTTCAGCAGAAACATTACGTCATAACCATATACCAAAGTCAACAGCATAGGGCATAAGATATTTATGTCAAAATATGAAACTAAGAATTTGAATTGTAGCACAGTAGATTAAGCTACTATTACTTCTAGACCTGGCTACTCCATTCTGATTCAGCTTTCTGTTAATGAGCCTGAGAAGATAGAAAACAATTGGCCAAGTCATGTGTTCCACACAACTGCTATGAGAGAGCAGAATGGAAGGAAAAGATACAGTTGGGAAAGCCTGACTGACAACACGTGTTTAAATCAGGGAAAATAATCATAATTTGGAAGTGCAGATATGTGACCTTGAAAACAATTAAAAATACAAAATTGATTATGAACATTTACTATACTTAGACCACATGGTAAAGGTACATTTTGTGTGTGTGTAGATTACACACATACATACACACACATCATGTACTTGGAACCAAAATACTAGACAGAGTTATGTTCATAAGCAGCACCATTTCAAGGAATAAAATTCTGAGAAAATAGCCTCCAAATACAACATGAAGAGCTGAAACCAACGAAAACTTCAAAACTGGCTGTTTAATGGCAGTTCTATTCATTCATTTATTTATTTATGTGCAAACTCTCTTCTTTCCCTCTCACCCTTCCAAATAAATCAATAAAACTTAAAGAAAGTGATAATCCATATTTTTAGTGTCTCCTCCACGGACCTCATAAGAAGAAAAAAATCAGATAAAGCCTGTTCAAAATTCCAGCCTGGTCTGAGATGGTTGTCACCGCCAAGACAAAAAGCAAAACAAAACAACAAGCACCTAGACAAAGCTGTTTTGACTGCCGCTCTTCTCCCCAGTGGAATAGGCTTTATGTTGCTGAGAAAGTGGACCAGATTGTCACTTTGAGAACGCGGGTGAAAACCCAGTGAGTTTTCAAAAGGGAGAAAAACTCGACAATGCTTGTGTCAGGAAACAACATGTCATAGTGTTGGAGACAGAGCGGCATCTCCGGGGAGACAGCTTCAGAAGCTCCCGAGGCTGACCAAGAAAGAAATGAAGGTATCCTTGCTCCACACCACGAGGGACCAAGGAAGGGAGAGCCAGTGGCAGGAGGAAGGCACACAGAGAACCAGCCTCTCTGATGTGCAGGGCTACAGGGAAGGTCCTCCTCGCACTGCAGGATTTTGTCCCCACTGTGAGCATGCAAAGGACGAGAGGAGTAAGTAGGTGGTACATTGCAATCAAGACAACAGCACCAAAACTTCAGATCAGTTCATTCTCCAGTAAATATCCACCAACGTATGAGGCATACCTAATGCAGTATTTTTTTTTACCTTAGTCTCTATGAGTACCTACAATTGGAAAACAAAGAAAAGGGGACGATTTATAAATCTGGAAATAAGCCCTCACTAAGACCATAATATTTTAGTGCCACATATGGCATTTCCAACTTCTGGAATCAAGGGAACACACATTTCTGTTGTAAAGTCACTCACTTTATGGCGTTATGTTATAATTTCCCAAGCTAATACAAATGCATCCATAAAATCTAGTCCGTTTGCCCTTATTTCACATTTTCCAATGCAGGGGAAAGAAATATGAGGGTTGTGCTCTAATTGTGCAGCGTAATTAGAGAGAATTTGTGATTTTAATCTACATTGCAACCAACATATAGAAACATTTTGCATCACACATTTTAGGACTAGTTGGGGAAGAGTTGCAAGTCCCATATCATGTCATATGTCTTACAGGGTATACCCTATCCAGAATATCTTGTACATGACCTTGAGGCATTCTATCAAATTTCCTAAAGGGAATTACAAATGTAGTCCCTTGGTATTTCCAGTATACTACTCCACATGATAGTAAGTAAGTTTAATCAAAGGTGACAACAGGGTTTAACATAAAAAATCGGTGCTATTCATCTCCCATCCCCAATGTGGATACTCTAAGAAGAAATGGATCCTAGCTCTGTTATAGGCCAACCTGGTTTTGAATTTAAGAAACCTAAAGCAAATGCAGACAGGTCAGTATACACAAGGTAGGTTTCTGAAATCTGATAAGAG